CATAAAGGAAGGCTTCATGAAGGAGCTCAGTACAGTCACGTCCGGGATCTCCGTCATTCTCAAACGTGATCCATGTGCCAAGTGACAAACAGCTGCAAAGTTGGCAGACCAACATTGACCTACAGTACATCACGGACGTTTATGCCTGTATCATGCACGTTACAACTTACATGATGAAGAGTGAGAGAGCGATGAGTGAGTTGTTGAGGAAAACACAGCTAAAGAGACAGCGAATGAAGACGTTAAATCACAACTCCACAAATTAGGAACAAGCTTTCTAAATCACAGGTAAGTTAGTGCACAGGAAGCAGCTTATCGACTGCTTTCCCTCCCTCTGAAGAAAGCGACAAGAACTGTAGAGTTCATTAACACAGGTCCGAAGGAGAAGCGTGTGTCAATGCTGATGTCCTCAGCTGTGTTGGACACCATGAAGGGCGAGGATGAGGACATATTGGAAACAAGCTTCAATGACAGATATGCTGCCCGACCATCAGAGTTGGAGCCCATGTCCCTGGCCGAGTTCACATCAACATATGCCGTGGCATATGGAGAAATGACAACTGATGAAACATCAACCACCAAGCAAGAGAGCATCCAGTTACAGAAGGGCTTAGGTAAGTTCAAACTGATTTCTTGTACTGTTCATCAAATTTCCATAAGTTAGATATGTATCCACTAAGTTAGATATGTATCCACTAAAATTATTTCACTTCAATTTTATCCCCAGGAGTCATGTACAAACGACGTCGCCCAGATGTCATACGCTTCCACAAAGAAAAAGGGGAGGGTGAATCTAAGTACCGGCACCTGCTTATTCTGTACTGCCCCTGGAGAAGTGAAGACTAGCAGATGAGTGACTTTGAATCCTACGAACAGCACTATGCGGCCGTGAAGGATGTCATCCAGCGCAACGAAAACCTGTACAACCTGTAAAGAAGACAGGGCTAGATCAGGCACTGGATAATTTGGATGAGTTCGGAGCACCAGAACACGCGTGGGACATGCTCGCTCCTGGAGCTCAACAGCGACAGGCAGAACAGGAAGGAGAAGGTATCTCTGACAATAGAAGCATCGGAGTAGAAGACCTCCATCACAATGCTGACCTGAGTGATGATCGTAACCAGTCAGGCGCAGACATGCCCGATACACGCAGCTGAGGCCAGCAACTCATTGCTTTCACTTGAAGAGTACCTGGAAATGATGCACGCGTTAAATGAAAAGGACAGGAACATCCTAGACTACCATTGACAATCATCAGCGACAGTCATCGCTCTGAAGGAACAGAAGCCGCTCCCTACATACCGTCTATTCGTCAGCGGGCCAGGTTGTGTAGGAAAGAGCCATATCATAAAGCTCATTCATTTTGAAACAGTAAGGCTGCTGAGACTGGCGCACTGTTTTGACCCTGAAGATCATCATGGCCATGCTCACAGCCTTCACAGGAGTAGCCGCTTTCAACATCAATGAGCTCACTCTCCACTCAGCATTCCTGCTGGAGACCATCAACAAGCGACATGACTATCGTGCTTTGGGATCAGACAGACTGAACACGTTGCCTTCGCGTCTTAACTGGTTCGGAATAAGTCTGAATGCGTCTTATAAATTTGCTTAATGTATAATGCATAATGTGTATTATAATGATGATGAATAGATATTAAATTCAAATTTACCAGAGAGCTTTCAGGTTTAAACATCCACCATGGCGAAAACGTGAGAGCAAACAAATACCTTTAGACCGATCCTAATTATCACAATTAGCAGAACAACCAATGATAGCATGGTGAGGGGCCAGTGATGGGGTGCCTACATGCCCGTCAAATATTTGCATTTAAGTGATTATCATAATTGATAACGGAACGCTCGACATGCCTATACAAGAAATTACCACAGAAATTGCGTTTATATGGATGAGTTCCCGTAATAGACCACGGGACAGGGTGTATTGTTTCACGGGTTGATAAATCTGAGTATTGAGCTTCTATTGACACAGCCAAGATGAATTTACCTGCCGACGTATCGGTAGACCTTCTGCCACCCCCAAGAGCCAAAGAGGTGGTCTGACGTACTTTCAACCTGACTTGTAGGTCAGAAACCTTGTTGTGAACTTTGAGACTTTATTCGAATTACCATTAGCGCTTCCTGGAATTCACAAATACTCAACACAGGTACTACACGACGCCAATAACGTACAACAAAATCACAGTTACAACTATACAACTATTTTAAAAACAATCCGATTGCACAAGTGCTTCTTATGGAAATGTTCATAAAGACTGTTCTTTAAGGACCTTAAGGACTATGTGGACTGCAACGTCGTTCCACGCTCTTACCATTTTACAGCCTTGAACATGAAACACTTCTTCAAAGAGTTGGTTCTGGGTTTATCTAACGTAAATGGCGGCCTAGAAGCAAAGCGTTCTGTGACTGTGCTGTTAACCAAACTTAATTTCCTACTAATACATAAAGGTGAGATGGTCATAGTGTTCACTAACAGTCTAGTGTTCACGGGTTTCCACTGCGGCGAGTTTCTATTCAACTGGAACAGACAAGTAACCTTTTTCTGCATTCGTTGTGGGTAGTTACCTTCGCCAAGAAGGTTATGTTTTCGTAGGCGTTCGTGTGTCTGTGTGTGTGTGTGTGTGTGTGTGTGTGTGTGTGTGTGTGTGTGTGTGTGTGTGTCAGCACGATAACTCAAGAAGGCTAAAATGGATTGTCTTGATATTTGGTAGGTGGATAGGTCTTCATGAGACGTGGAACTGATTAAATTTTGGGCCCCCTAGCGGCTTGTAATGGTACTGCAGCTGAACTTTCCGGTTTTGATATCTCGTGATCTAGACATGCTAGGGTGACGAAATTTGGATGGTAGGTAGCTCTTGTGCTGGGGAAGAAGTGATGTGAGTTTGGCCTCCCTAGCGGCTTGCCTCTGGAACTGCAGGGGGCGTTAGTTGAAAAATATTTAAAGGCGGATAACTCTAGAACCGATTGATGGATCGTCGTGATTTTTGGCATGTAGGTAGCTGAAGTGGTGCTTAACATAATAATATTATAATTATGCGTATATTAATGTAATTTGCATAATTAATGAGGAAATTCTATAAATCAGCTGCATTCCATGATAGGACTATTCAAGCTTGTGACATATGTAATTAAGAACGGCAGAAATACAGGCAGATATCGATTATGCAAATGAAGACTTAATTTGCATAATTAATGAGAAAATGTTATATTTACATAGTGGTAACTGCCTGGAATTTCATACTTGGGATATTTGAAAGTTATGTGAAGGTGAACATAATTAAACATAACTTATTCAAATAAGGACCTTATTTGCATAATTTATGAGGAAATGCTATAATGGCATTCTTTGATAAGATAAGACTGCCTTCTGGTGTAGAATATGATCAACAGATATAATTGATGCAAATATAGGATCCTATTTGCACAATCAGGGGGATTAATCTATAATTTCTTACTCATAAAGGCTAACATCATTTGGCGAAGGTATGAGATCGTGGAACTCTATTTTATGTTAGTTGTAGTTGCACATGACCAAACTGGGATACAGTAATCAATATGAGATAATACAAGGTATTCAATTGCCATCTTCAACAATTTCTGATCCATAAAGTGTGCACATCTTTTAATCATTCCTAGTGACCTGGCCATTTTCTTTGATGTAAATTTTGTGTGAGTGTTCCAGGTAACGCACTCGTCTACAGTCGTGCCTAGTAGCTTTACTTCCGTGAACTGTTCGATGCCCTTTCCATTTGCTGTTAATGTGAGTTAATGAGCAGACATCCTTGGCTTGCTCCCCACAACAATACATTTTATTTGTGAAGTGTTCAGGAAAAGCTGGGTCACTCTTACCCAGTTGCAGATATGTTTACCTCTCTCTGTAGTTTATGTGAAATAGTTTCAATTGAAGGAGCACAGATGTAGGCTGAGGTGAACAAGCCCCGAGAGACTTACGTTGGAGGAGCCAGCCTACTAGCCATCAATTCTTACCAACTTAACCTTATTAATTAAGGTCAACCTGCTGTAGCCACAGGGCCCTCCCTGACACTCTATTGAATTCAAACACAATCAAAAAACACACAGATATAACCAAAACAATAGCTCGGTACCAGGAGGTAACGACGTGAAACTGGTGTCTCTATTGTTTTTAATTTCAGAAAGTTTGCTGTCAACTTTCATAATTCTGCCTGGTAGTCGACGTACCCTGAAGCCGCCGCAAAGACGGTAATATAAAATAGATCTTTTAACACCTCAAAATATGCATATTTAAGATAAACGATATCAAGGCATAAAGAAAGTCCCAATATTCATCAATATGGCAAGGTAAGCGGGGAATCATTAGAGTTAGTGTTATCAAGGGGTGCACGTGTCAGAGAAATGAAATCAAAACTACAGTGGGTGTCACTGGAAGATAGGCGTTACAAAATGACGAATAAACTACTGGTGGGTGTACCAACTATTGAATACCTAACATCAGCTCAGAAAAGAACAAGAAATAGTCATGCATTCAAGTAAACAACCAATGATTGAGTGGTTCAAAAACTCGTAGAGTGGAACTTGCTGTACACAGAGTTAGATGTGCATAGGTTAGCTGCAATATAGCCAGCTGCCGCCGCGCCACGGGCCTGCGAAGCTGGTGTGGTACGCCGAGGGGCGGTTATACCAGCTATACATATACTGGCTTGGTGTTGCCACACCTATGATAAATTCGTAGTCAATCGTGTTCAGAAAATGAGCATTTTACTCATTTTGTGAACACCTGCAGCGATTTAATTCGTGTGTTATATTTTCATAATCACAAAGGCAAGGAAAGAAGCCTCCACGTATCAAATAAACTGTTTTATACCTATCAAACTCGAGGTTCTCAAGTCAACATATATCCACTCAGTATATGATATACAAAACTAAGCACCCAGCCTCCAAGCAACAAATGAGATCCAAATGGGCAGAAAATTCTCGTAACGGAAGTAACAAATTCGCCTCACCATCATTCCGACTCAGATTTGACCACACTGCTTCCGGATTTCGACTTCCAGCCCTGCGATTGCCTTTGACTGCGCCGGCAGGTCCACACTAGCGGTGAAAAGAACCACGCCTTTGTCCCAAACCAGTCCTCACAAGCACGCGTTAGCGATAACAGACGATAGGAGGAGAATCAGGCAATGTAGGGATAAATTCAACACCACGACAGGCTTCACGTGGCTGAATTTAAAGAACGTACGTCTCGTGAAAGAAAATCCTCCTGTCACATGTATGGGGAGAACCCAATACCTTACCCAGATGTTTACGGCTAGTAATGAGCCGCATTACATCCTGATCACGCCTTCCAACAGTACATCTACATAGCCTGATAATTAATCTTCATCCGACGCCGATTAAGGTCCGTTTCAATTTTCTCAAGGGATTAGATGCGCGAGCACACGTGCGTGCACACACACGCACGCACGCACACACACACACACACACACACACACACACACACACACACACACACATGAAGTCCTTAAGAATGTTGATTAGTTTAATGCAAAATCGTTTTCTAAAACACTGTTTCTATGCACCAAATTGTTCTGTTGAATTCTGAATGGCACAATCAAGCAACCGAAGTCTCACTTCAAATTTTACCGTCGTCCTTCTTAACTGGCCTAGTGTCCATACGACGACAGATGACATACAGTGTATTCCTACAGCTACTCAACAGGCATTGTCAAAATCGCAAACAAATCTGCATTTCGGTCCATAAAGCGAAAAGGGATTTTGACAGACAGAGGTAAAGGCCAATCAGAAAGCAAGGACGTAATATGCGATGTAATCAGGTTCCAACGTCCAGCAGCAGTAAAGACCCAGCGATAATTGGATTCGCGGCACCATGAGTAAAGAATGAGAATTTGAACACCCTGCCCTATCTATTTTGCCAGCGCACGTAGCTATCGTTCTGAAATATATGTACATTGTCTGATAGCCACTGGGACACATCGCATAATACATGGAGCAACTCCCGGTGTCAAAAATATGCAATGATAACAAAACTGTCTCTGTTTATGTGGGTTATTTGATATCATCCCTTCTTTTAAGGATTGAGATTTTTCCTAAAACGTATGGCTTATTTTTCCTGTGTATTAGAAAAATAATTCCTGCACAATTTCTCCCAGAATGCGACACTGCGACTGCAAAAGAACGGGCGACCAGTTCCATCCTATCATAACCTCTGTTGCTCATAGTGACGGCTGTGTGGAACTGCCCTCTCGCAGGTTCTAAAGGAACTGCTCTTTCCTACTTTTACAAGCGCACATGCCGACATTGTATAGGATCAAACACAATAGGGATCTTACCTTCGCATAACATACAACATCTTCGGTCATACTGGGGACGACAACAGCTTACCGCCGAGTGAAGCGGGGCCAACAGCAACCTTCTCGCTTATGTTAGCTATGCCCAGACCTTCGCTAAACATTTGCTTTCCTGATAAAGATAAAGTGCGGGGGACGCATGACTATATCATATGACAGGACTCCTCGGCTCTGTACCTTTGCACTGCGTACTTTGTTCTCCTAGCGAACAATGATTCCGTCAACAAACTAATGGGGTTCCACTCCATTACTAGACTACATATTAAACAAGAAGCAAGGTCTTTATACAAAAAATGACTCAAATGTGTGTTAAGGCGTGGTACCTTCGTTGTACGATATTTGTCATTGGATTTTCAGCTGTGCAGAACCCCCAAAACACATCTACGGTAAGATTTTGAACACAGCTGGATACTGTACAGCTGTGCGCGCGAGACATCCACGACGGCTGCAGGAATATGTAGAACGCTAACGTGCATGCACGCCTGTGCTGAAACGAGGCCCTTATAGTTTTCATTCTTAGGTTTTTATTTTGCATTTTTGTGTTTTATTTCTGTGTTCTTATGGGGTAGTTGGGGATATGGGATCGGTGTATTAGACCAGTTTTGAGGGACACGAAGCCACTCTCTCATTGGTTGAACCGTTAATTGCCATCCTATTATTGGTTGAGCTGCTAATTGTGATAGACAGTCATGATCGGTCTTAGGCCGTGTCTAAACGGAATCACCCAAGGCGGTTTACATGTGGTTTACCCCGAAGCCGGTTTCAAGTGGCTCCATGTGAACGCTCCGAAATCACATTGAAAGCGCCTCGATCCCAAGCCACTTCTAGAGGTGGTTTCGAATCGGTTTCCCCGCATCGCGATTTGCGTCTGAACGCAATATGATTTCAATGTGACTTCGCCTGGTCATGGATTACGGAGTGATATTTCTTTTTCTATATGCAATACCAACTTTTACGTGGCAGCAACTTAAAGAGCAGTAATGGTCAAATAATGTGTCCGTTCTAGGGCGAGCTTCACCGCCTCTGGCGGGACCACGTCGGCATTCGGCCGAGATACGCTGGAGGGGGGCATCAGCAAGCAGGTCGTTGACCTCTGACATTAATAACACGCCGCCTTGCGTGTTATCATCAAACAGCAATAAATGTAGCTCAAGCGCATTATGTTCGGACACGGTTTCACAGGTGTGTGTGGCACGTGGACCAGATGTGAGGAATGTGAGTTACCCGAATCGCGGTTTGGATGATTCCGTATAGACACGGCCTAATATCACAGGCGTCAGGAACGGCTGTCGTGTCGACACGTGCCAGGAGTTTGGCGTGTGAACCTCCAGGTGACAAGCAAACGCACCTGTCATACACGCATGAAAAAGAATTTGTTCGGGACAAAATAAAGCAAACATGTATTTCAGACAACATTCTATCAGAGTAAAGGGAATGTCAGCCCGTCTACCGGAAATAAATCATTCAAATGTTTACGAGAATGACAACAAAAGCCACCCATGTGCGCCATCTTTCTGATTTCACCCCAATTGCAGCATGGGGATAATCGATGACGAGAATGTATACAAGGGTCAAACTGGCTTTAAATACGGAATTTGCTTGTATCAGAGACATTTCCGTGCTCTTCAGTTGAACTTGTAATAGTTTAAAAATTTGTCAAAGCTTACGCTAACCCACTTCCTAGAAAGTTAACTTTTTTTTAGTGAACTTGATTTATTTAAAGAAAATCGCAGGCTCAAACAGCCTGAATTGTGTTGTAAATTTTCAAACAGCTGGCAGTAGGTACTTGGGCCCTGTTCATGTGAAGTCAGTGAAGGCGCTTTACATGTGGTTTCCCCCGAAGCCGGTTTCAAGTGGCCCCATCTGAACGCTCCAAATCACATTGAAAGCGCCAGTGTAGTGGAAGAGTGCGCGACTCGGAACTTAGAGTCCCGGGTTCGAGTCCTGACATGCCACCGATCTTGTGCCCATGTGTTGGTGGCGGCATTAATTTAAGTTGAAAAAACTTGAGTGTGTCGTCACCACGTATGGTGATTACATGTTGGAATAAATAAAAAAAAAGAAAGCGCCTCGATCCCAAACCACTTCTTCTAGAGATGGTTTCGAATCGGTTTTCCCGCATCGCGATTTGCGTCTGAACGCAATATGATTTCAATGTGACTTTAGCTGGTCATGGATTAAGGGGTGGTGATATTTCTTTATTTATAAGCAATACCAAATTTTACGTGGCAGAACTTAAAGCAGGAATGGTCAAATAATGTGTCCGCTCTAGAATGAGCTTCACCGCCTCTGGCGGGACCACGTCGGCATTCGGCCGAGATACGTTGGGAGGGGGGCACCAACAAACAGGTCGTTGACCTCTGACATTAATAACACGCTACCTTGCGTATTTTCACCAAACAACAATGAATGCAGTTTCAGAGAATCGTGATCGGGCACGGTTTGAAATGAATGCATGGCACATGGACCAGATGTGAGGAATTCGAGATACCCGAATCGCGGTTCGGGTGGTTTCATTGCTGGCTTTGATTTGACAGGATGTACATAACACATACGTGTACGCATGTACATAAGATCCTAATTATGTAAATCATTATCTAATTTGCATAATCAAATACAAATCTTATAAACCCAATGGACTCCATGAACATTTCTAGATATGAATGATTGAAATGGAGACCATCTTATTTGCAAAATCAATGTGAAACTAGAGAGGCCAACATTTGCTTCGGAGCAAATGTAGGAATTTCACTCCATACCCTTCCCCAAACAAAAATGAGAGATTCTAAATAAATCATACTGCAATTATACAAGGACAAGCTGTTTGAATCTCGACAGGTATTTACAAAACTGGCACTTGGCAATTATCTCCCTTTTTTTTACAAAGATACAACGACACGCACTTTAAATCTCGACAGCTTTACTTTACACTTTTGACGAGATTGTAACTACTACTAACGGAAGCAAAATTTTCACGGCCTGAGAAAAATGGACATGTTCACGGAACTATATATTCACGGTGGTGACAGTTGCAGGAAAAAGAAAGTCCAGGAATTATTTCCTAACTGTAATGATAAGTTCACAATACAGAGGTGACAGTGAAAACCGTGAACATTGACCCCCCGCTTGCGTTGCGGTACAGTGAAAAAAAATCGGGAATTACAGCAATCAATTTACTGAGTATGTTTGCTTAGTTTCCAGATGTTTTGTACTTGTAGTTTTTAAATGAACGAAAACCGATGCGCGCACAGATGTTACTTTTGTGACAACATCAAAGTGATTTTGGTTTGTATGTCGAAAAAATACAAAAGACTAACATTCGAAGTTATTGAAATTCTTGAGTAAGAACAATCAGTTTTGGAATGTTAAAAGCAAAGCAATGGATATTAAAACGAAAATGTTAAAATTAAATGTTGAAATTTAAAATGTAAAATGGTTAAAATGGTTAAAATTGTTGAAATTGTTAAAAATGTTAAAATTGTTAAAAATTGTAAAAAGGGTAATTAAAAATATCCAGTGTACCGGGGTTCGAACTCGCAATGTCTGGACTTGCAGCCCCGAGCTATCTGGACGCGTTTCCATTACTCTCTGCATTGTATGTCATATAAAGTGAACAACATGGCGGTAACGATCGCTTCAAGTACTAGTAAGGGACTTTCTAGGAGATTTCCTTCTTTATCAGGTTCGCTTTTGAACCACCGGTACCTTGATGTAACGTAACTATCAATCCGGCTAGCAGAAGCCGCCGGCTCCCTGTCCAATCTTTGAAAACTGTCGGGCATGCAAGCCCTCAACGCTCGCTTTAGGAAAATTTGCCAGGAAGCCGTCTTGCGATGTTCTCAGCAACAACAAATG